ATGTTTCTCTATCAGTTGCTCATTCAGTAAATATCTCAAAACCTTGTCAGTCTAATTGGAGGTTTAGCGACACAATCATGCATGCAAATAATCAGTATAAGCAGTCGAGCAAATCTCCTGCAAACTGAAAACATCAATGTCGAATTTACCCCAACACTGACTAAGGTTCAAGCCATTATCATAGACATGAGTTGGGAGTGTACTCCCCTTGGTTACAACTTATGTACTCCCTGATAATCACATGAGCATCACTCACTGTTAATCATCTTGTAAAAGCTTATTTAGCCGAATACATCCTGCGGCACCACATCACTTCGTAATATGACACAGGCCTAACTGATTTTAATAACCTATAACCACTATATCTCAATTTAATCTTATTCCGCCTTATGATAAACTGCATACTTGCAACTAACTTGTATGCCCAATCAGCCAGCAAGTATAAATATAAATAAATAGTCTATTGCAGATCAGAACATTGAGTCCAGAGCATGTCTCTTACGAACACACTCATGTTTAGCGATTTGTTCATAGCTATCTGTCCAAAATTCATATAATTATCACTCACGTATTTAAATTTTATTTTGATAACCATTCATGTGTATTGGTAGTATTACTAAATTCTATCACGGTCAAGTAAAAATGAAGTTGAGAAAATCTCCCCGTAACTAAATAAACCGTATCAAACTAACTGGAACACTAGTTGGAATTCTTTTCCATGGTAATACTTTTGTTCTCCCAGTTAGCCTACTAATACAGATGCAATTGGAAATCACATATGGACGGGTTACCGGCATAATTGTTAATTGGTTTCATAATTTAAACCAAAACTAATACCAATATTAACATTTCTACAATATTCATTACTTTAATATTTCTAAACACAAAATACTTACTACCTATACGTCAAGTTATTAACCAACGGCTATTAACACGCATTGTTTTATTATTATTACTGTAATCCCATTTTTTTTATAGCTCAAATAATCTTCACCCAAATTGTCATTTTAAGTGTGTTAAGCATGAAGGCAGATATTTTAAAGTTATTACATGTATTTCCCGACCAGATGCTGCCGCCTTCTTTTTGATTTATCTTTCAGCTTATCATTACCCGGGGGATTCTTCCTAGTCTTGGTAACCTTCGGCGCACGAAGATCCCATCCAATTTGGTATCGAACCAACATCACGTTGATTCTGGTGGGAGAGTAGTGTAGTGGCATTGGACAATAGCCACACAATCCACAAAGCTGTGAACACGAGACTACTCAGAAAATAGATATTCAATATTTAACGCGGAGAAATACCTAAAAATGGAGAAGGCGCGAACAATGAATTGAATGGACTGGAGTTGATCGAGTGGCATGGCTCGGCCATGCAGGCGTGGTCTCTATTCATATTAAATATATTGTTCTTTCTCTAACCTAACCTCGTTCTTCATCATGTATTGGTAATTGATACGATACAGTGAGTTGGCGTAGTCGATGGTGTGACTTCCACGTAAGATCTTATAGATTAGGCAGTTATATCATGACGAATCTACAAATTTAGGATTAGGTCTATTATTAGAGCAGTACTAATATCATAGTAGACCATAGTTCTACACATTCTCCAGACTGAAGTAGTCATACCCGATGCGTATATTGAAATGCACTCACTGTAATTATCGTCATATGCCACCGGCCTATTTCTTCTCAACTTGCTTTTTGTAATCCCCGTTAATTTCACGCTCTTATTCATTCATATTGTCCAAGTACTTAATTAATTCACTTCACACAACCTTTATCTTCTCTTCGTTCTTCTGAATTCGAAATCTGTAATTTTCATATAGCAGACAATCGATATGATAACTACTGGGTCCTGAAAACGTACTGACCTGAGTGCACTTTAAGTAACACATATGTAGCTATCAAATACATTGGCAGTCGTGTTCTTGTGCGGCTAGATTAATTCTGAATAGACCCCATAAAAGCCCCGGAATCAAGTCAATAAAACAAGAAGTGAGGGTAGAGAAATCATTTGGTCTTTACAAACAAAGTTCCAACATTCAGTGTAAAATAATAAGAAAGATAATGCCAACATAAAATTAGGAAGTAAACGAATACTTGAGCTAAAGTTTTGACTAAATCTTGATCAACAACTATATACCCGTAAAGTGAAGATCCTAGATTAAGCGAGGCACAAAATTCTTGCTACAGGCCAAACAGAGGGCATGGCTCATGCGAAATAACTCCCTAAAGAATTCTGACCGTAGCTTTTACTTGTCACTGAATAGTGGATCCAAATTCAAATTCTGTAGTGATGGATAGGAGCCAGCATTCGATCAACTCAAAGCATGGGAAATCTGGACGACCTGCTGGAACCATCTGATACTGTTTCATGTAATATCCTCTGATTTCCCAAAAGCCTTTGGCTCAGTACCTCATGTATATCTCATGGTGAAGGTTGGAAAGATGACTTTCGTGGCTCCTAGACTATTTAGAAAACAAGATGCTTCGTACCAAGGTAAATAGAGCACACAAAAGTTGAGGGGTCTCAACTTCACAGGGAACAATCTTAGATCCATTCATGTTTTTGGTCTTCGTTAGAGATCTGTTAGATAAAATTAGCTCGGCGGCACTGATCTATGCAGATGACGCAAAGATTTGTAGGTACTCAAAGAGTGACAGTTATTCATTTGAACTTCGAAAGAACCTTATAACAGTCAACGGACACTCAGTAGACAGTGAGTTAAAATTAACCAATCAAAATATGTCAAGAACACTCTGTCTCATTTGATACAAAGCACCTATACTCTCTATGGAAATCCGCTCCCAATCGTCTTCGTGATCTCGGGCATGTAACATCGGATGGCTTAGGTACTAGGTCAAAATATATGGGAGATGCAGCCAACGCAAACACAACTCTCCACCTTGTGCGTAGACAATTGAGCACAACCACTCAGAAAATATTCCTGACACTAGTCAGAACGCACGCACGGACCCATCCCAAGGTTCGCGGTGTCTTTGCGTCCCCTCTGCCTAGAAGAGATATAGATCTCTTGGATCGAGGACAAAGACAAGTAACTAAGTTGGCGATGTGTTTAAAATGTTAATCTTACGAGGACAGACCTCAAAACCTGAGATTATTCTTGTTGAGCTGCAGGGGAATATGAGATGACCAGATAATAACCTACATTACAGTAAGTATGCTAGGCCACCCCGTCACGAAGATATTGCCAGAACATCGTCATCACGCCGATGAAGACAGCCCTCGAAAGATTGCATGTCAAGGAGCAAACGACCAGGTTCGTTTTCACGTTTCCTGACTAAGAGTTGCCCCCATTTCAGAGTATTTTACCCAACAGAAGTGACCATAGCTTCATCAGTGGATAGCCCTAAGAGGGGATTTGAAAAACACGTTCTCACTCATGATTTGCCATCTCCCCCGCAGACCGGCTATGTCCAATGCATGTCTCATAAATTACCACAGCAATCATTACCGCACATCAGTAAATACTTCATACATCTCTTATTATAACATGCATCTTCACTTCCATTTTATGAATTCCATCCCCTCTCACATTACCAGCTAGTTAACCCATTTATTACTTTTGGAAACATTCTCTCCTCTTAGCACGTGAGTCATCGCTTTATTGTTTTTACAACCAACCAACCACCTTCCTGGTAACGTGATAACAACTAATATCCAGAATTCCTACTCTCCTGAGACAAATGCACTCACTCAAACGGTAGGATATACAAACGCACAAATAATTAACAAACTGGTTGAAATTAGTGCAATTGAGTGGCTAGACTGCAACCCCTTGGACATTGCCATAAACCTGAATCCATACTGAAGCAACGGGAAGCGAGTGTAAAGAGATTACTTGGTTTATATAACTCCGTGGCAAAGATATTGGAGTGCTTTTCAGTAAGACATATCTGATCTGGGAGAAAACAGGCGTTCTGGCATTATCCAGTAAGAACTTTGGTTGTAGCTGCATTGGCGGCTTGGGTACTTTTACGAAGGATTTGCCAGTGCGGTAAGTCTACTCGTGCTACTGGCTGCTTGAGGAATACATTTCTTCGTCCAAACTTCGACTTTTCTCTCTAGTTGGCGGGGCTGGGACGCATCGGAATGGCTAACTTACTGGTCTTTGGTCACAGAGTCTTTGTTCCGTTCGCATACTAGGTAATCGCTTCAAAAATAGCAAGACAAATACCGAACTGTATAACATAAACCTGAGAAAATTCCCTCGAAACAGAGAAATATCACTGGATGTTGGTGGTCGCAACTTTAAAGTCGTACCCGAAGATCCGGATAAAACCGTCATCGTCCCACCAGAAACTAGATAAGAGACATTCTCAGCGATAGGAGACTATGAGTATGGGTAAACGAGGTATTATCAACATGGTGTTTTATAAAAAGTAGCGTCCTTCAGAGTAAAATGATTGGGCCTTTTCATCTTTATGCTTCATGTAAATGACCTACCAACAGTAACAAACCAACCTATTCTATTCTTTCTCGACGATTTTGAGACCTGATTAAGAATATCGGAATCAAGCAGCTGGTCTCTGTTTCAAACATGAAACTAATATGCTATAAAGAGTTCAGTGAAGATGAAAAAAAGTGATTAAACGTCTCAGCGATTTAACTTATTAAAACAGACTGACTCACCGAACTATTTTCGTTATCTTACCACAAGTTATAGAGTGATTTAATAATGATTTACCGTACAATGAACGATGATTCTAGTACTAATATGTCTGGTCGTTTCCCTCCATCTGTTGAGAAATCCTAAGAAAGTCTGAAAACCGAGGTCAAGAGGTCTAGGTCTGGAGTTTCGTTTCTGACATCGAGTAGTGAATTACTTGGATTATCTACTAGAACATGTAATAGCAGTAGCTTACGCCGATACTTTCAAAGTGAGATTGTATCTAGACATTATCACAAATTTCAAAGACTTAGATAGGTCGATTGACCTCCTATCGTTACTAATTGAGACACATTAAGACTAAGGTTAGAGACTCAAGCCTGAAGGTCGTCTCGATAGCGCTTCGCATGAAGTGTTTCGAAACACTTTGTAATGGTTATTTGATGAATACGTGGGTGTCATGAGACCAAGGGTACTATCGGTCGGTGTCAGCACAGAAACCAGTATAGCTGTTGATTAGTAAAATGCTTTTCATCCAGTATTTTAATTTTGCTCACGTTTTAGCGGTTGGAAAGGACTTATTGCTCTTGGAAGTTTCACCAACATACTTATAGTTGACCCTTGTTTCAGTAAAGTAACAGATTTCAATGATTTTCCTAACCTAATTCCAGTCTTTGCAGTCACTTCAGGGGCACCGCGCTAACATAGTGAATGTTTTGTGGGCTCCTGAAAATTACTATCATGATGATAAAAACCCTTTTCAATTAAAACTTGCCAGTGTTGACGCGTCTGGAGTAATAATTATTTGGGATGCTACTACGTCCTCTGCGACCTCAGAGTTTCGTGAGCCAGATTCACTCGTTTTGGGTTAGTTTTCGCATTCTGCTTACTAGTTTAGATATATTATGGCTACCAAATCAGTGGGTTTCACGTGATTTGTTAGCTGTTCTCCACTCTCGTGGTAGATTCATTATCTGGAACACACAAACCCAAACAAGATTGTGGAAGTACTCTTTTGGAGACGATGTGGTTTCTTTTTCTTTGGATATATTCTCTAATTCAAAGATGATTTGTAACTGATTTTCCACTTACTTACTTACTTCTTAAGTTTGCTCAAAGGAATATTTCATTGTGGAAAATTTCAATGTCACTTCGTGTGCCTTTGGAAAAGGCAGGAAACTAAACATCTCTGAGGCTGGTTTGTTAACACTACATATTAAAACTTATAGTTGAAGGTAGTAACAAGTGTTTTGTTAATGAAATAAACTCACATGGGACAACATCAGGAGAAACGCCAGTAAAATTATCGTACAGTGAACAAAAGGTCAGCCCGGGGAACTCTGGAAGGTATTTAACAAAGTATTTTGGTTTAAAATTAAGTTTTAAGTGGACGACTGTCTAATATCATCAGCTGTCACATAATGAGTATTGGTCATATGTGAGAGGATGGATGTGTGCTTGATCATAAGGTCGCGATAAATAGCATTGGAGGCCATCACATACTAGTTTGAGGAAGGCTTTCTTAAAACTACCCTGAAAAGTGTTCTGTGCCCTGTTGTAGGGGCTGATACTATGTCAAGCCCACGTAGGTTGTTCTAGCCTTCGGATAGATCAACCTATTCTTCTTAAATCACATTTTGACCTTGTCACTTATTCGATTATTAGTCCTGACTTTTTTGTATGAGCGTATGTGTTTATACTTCTTATCCTACTCATCACGTGTCTGTAACTTATTTGTGTTCGACTATAAACATCGATTGACGCTTGACTAACTTGAGTTGGCTCACACGCCTCCACCGCGCATCATTTTTGTTTAGCTTTGTTTATTTGATCGTCTGTCTGGGTCAATGATTGTATGAAATATACGTATACGAAATCCATTCTCGTATTTGGAGTATTTAATTCCGTTTTTCACAAACGCAATTTAAGTCGATTATTATATATGAGGATTGACGATATGTATAAGTCGTTAACAAACAGCAAACGATCTACTTGGAGTCAAATCTGGGGCCACCAAAACCACTACCTTTTAATACAGTCTTATTTGATCTTCTTAAAACGCTTTGTTATTCATCTCAAGGTTTAAAGTACTCATTTACCAGTCAAGCTCTACAACGTGCATGACCTGCAAATGTTTATGTAGGAGTGGCAAGGCAATTTATGAGGCTGGTGGTCTGAAAGTGATTAAGAGTAGTCAAACGATAAGCTAACATCTATCCAAAAAGTCAATGACTACTTATGGGAGTCTTGTTGGAAAGGTCATGTATTTTGGTTGGTGTTAACAAGATAATTGTCGACTATGGTTGAAGACCTTAGATGACGGCTCGGAACCTCACGTCTGGGTAAGTGGCTTCGTTCCTCGACTTATTTTTTCCTAGACAACAGTACTATCCCGAAATTTATATTCTCTAATTTCCCTTATTTGGCTTTTGTTCGTATTTGGTTTTCTGCTACTTTCTGTATCGTTATTTTAATTCATATCCTTGCTCCTATTTATTCACTGTCTTCGTAAGGTTATAAGGTACGGCAACTGCAGTTAGTGGATATCTACCTCACGTTGTTAGTCTAGCATTTATTTTAATAAATAAGAAATAGACAATATAATTGTTTCGACTATTGATATTGTTAATTGCTTAGTGTGAAGAATTATTTTTCGTCATGTAACATAAGCAAGTGAGGTTAGCATTCCCTAGTCCACATTTGATGTTTCAACAGAATGGCTTTGAAGTTGCTGGGTTAATAGATAATGCTTGGCTGTTTATAAGACAAGCAATGACTTTGTTGTTTAAACTGCGGGTAAAAGAATTATTTTTTTCCGATTGTCTGTGACGTGTATTCACATTTTAATAAGGAATACTGAATTTTATGATATTGCGTGTTCCCGCGGTAAGTTATTGAATGGTTAATGTTAGATACTACTCATATCAAATGATTACTAATCTGACTAAATAAATCACATGAAAAGTAGTGTACTCACATGTCATTTTGATTAATTTTGAGGGTTACAGAAATCCTTATCATCACTCTGTTTTTCGCCGTGTGTCGTCAGATCTGGAGTTTAAGTACCAAGTACAAGTCATTTAAACACTGCACACATAACAGTAAACTATTTTTACTGATATTTTTTTCTATGCACACTTTAATTAAGTTATTTGCTAGATACAGATCCATACATCTGGCTTCAAGCCACATTCCAAATGTGTGCTGGTGATACTTCGTGATTCACGAAACAGAAATGAGTAATGCCAGATTCAAACCTGAGACGTATTGGGTGAAAGTTGAATGTATTAATCACTGAATCACTGTTTCATCAAACGAAACGAGAGTAATCTAAAAGTTCTAAGTTAATCCTTCTGTCTGAACTTAGTACCGGCTCGAACAGTTTAATTTCATAATATCAGCTCATTTGTCTTTAGATTTTAAATAATGATTTCTGCGGTGTCCATAAGTAAGTTGTTATTAGTAGCAGAAACAATTCCATTGTCGATTTCTTACGAGGAAGCTGCTGTCGAAAGCCAACTTGCCTTCGCTCTTTAGTGTTAAGTACATAATAGAAGAAAGTATATCACGTTCTTAGTTGTGCACATCTGCAAAATACTGTCCCATTTTACTTGTAGGAACATTGTATGTGAACATTCAGTTATTAAACAAACTTTACTGTGTTTGTTTTGATTCAAAGCTTTTACTATTTCAATTTTTATTCAGGGCATGTGATTCTTCGAGTGATAGTGCGAGAACAACATCTATTAGAACATGTTTGCAGGTTACTTACCATCGATATCACAAGGACTGTGCGCTGTTTGTTTTTAGGAGGGAGATTATTATTGTGAATCTGGGATTGATCCGTCCACTTCATGTCATTTATCTAGATCCTTCTTGGCCTTCTTTCTCACGTGTGAGTCAATTTAATTTATGAGTATTAACGATCCTGAAAGTGATCTTTTAGTTTCGTAGTTTTGAGGCAGACCGTTTCTAGGCGCCCATAAACTTAGATTTCTCCCATATCTTAGCATAACCCTTCGATTAACAGTAGTTATATTTTACGGAATGTCAAACATCTATTATAGTCCCATCCTTCTCAAATATATGAAAGCTTATCCACCGAACTCATTTTTAGTATTTAATATTCGAGAAAAGTATAAATTACTGAGTATTTCTTTTGTTCATCGCAGAAGGGGTAATTTTGATCGCTCGAAGAATCTTGGGTGGCTTTGAATAATCTATTTTTTAAAGAAAACAACGCACCAATACATTATTTTATTTACTGTTCATCATGCTTATCACTACACATAAATTTATCACTACAGAGGCAGATATTCAATACATGAAAATTTATGAATGTATATTTGCCATATTTCTCGTAATTTTTAATTTTCGTTATCTGTAAATGTCGCAGTCTGGTTGCATAAGAGCAAAATTTTGTTTTCTGAGAGGCTTTAACGTGGAAAGCATAGCTAGAGACTGTTAGAATAAGGAATATGTGTGGTTATATTTGTAAGCATATTTCTGATTTACAGGTTTATTCTTGCACTCAACGTGATGTCATCATTTGCCTACATGAAAATGGTAATTTAAGCGTATATGCTTGTCGTGGTCTTGCTTTAGCAGCAGATCCTTCTCTTCATCCTTCTCATTTACTGCGAAAACCTAGTAAAGAATCTTCTGATATCCACGCTGATAACAGCTGCACTTATGTTCTTGTTGCAACTGCTGCTTCTTCTAGACGCCCAAAACAAGTACATCATGTTAATTTTTCTGTGGACCAAATGAATGAGTTGAATATTGTCGTAGCTTCAATTGATGGGCGTTTCCAGGTAACTCTTAGTAACATTTGTAAAATGTTCATTTCACTTTTGATAGTTTTTACTTTGTGGTTTAACGTGTTGTAACAATGATTCCTAGTCAGATCCTGTAAATCTAAAACCAAATTAATTTACGAGATAGTTTTAGTTTCTCTTGACGTATCAGATGATTGCTGCTTGTCTTGCAACTGTTCTACTTATCAATTTTGCCAGTAGTTATAAGATGGTTCATGGTCATGCAATCGTGATACTTTAGTGAGGATGGCTGAAACTGTTTCCAACATTCTCATTCCTTTATTGTTTTAACTGTTTAGTTGATTCGTATTATGAGCGGTAGCTTAGCAGTTAAAACATTTAGCTTTTAACTTTTAGGTCTCAGGTGAGAACTCCGCTCCATCTACTTCGATTTAGGCAGACGCGTATTACTGCTAACACCCAAGTAAACAGATAATTAAATCAGATACTCAAGTTTGTACTTAGGGAGTGAGTTACGTGAATATAATTCATATTAAAGTGGAAGTATTAGTGCTTAGATTAATACACAATTTTATGTGGAAATCACTTCAGGTGTTTATAAAGTGTAAAAGGATTGTTTACATCTTGAGACAATTATAATTATTTTTTTTCTGATTTACTTTAAGTTTATAACTTTTCAAGTCCAGTTCACTATCACATTGGAGTTAAAAGACTGAATTCATGTTATTTTTTGATTATAATAATGCTTAAGCACATATTTTAACTTATAGTCTATGGAAAACTGTAGGTTCTGTTAATTATGTAAATAAGACTAGGTCTTGGCTAAAATTATGTACGTAACATTATGCAGTATACACTAAACTATTATGTAACATCCACCACCAATATACAATGAGGTTTTGAGAGTGTAGTAGTCATAGTCGTTTTATCTCAATATCCCCTGTTAGTTCGTGTGTGGATATATATCTAACCATCTATTGATTTTCAAAGTTTTGGCAACTGCGAGCTGTTCGAGACCCAACTTTTTGTGATGAAGAGGTGAAACCAATTTGGAGCCTTTCAGATCTGCTACCACATGCACCTGTTGTAGATAAGTAAGTAATACCTTAAAGTATTTTATTTAAACATTGATTACTATTTCTGTTTTAGTCACCTAATGTCTAATATTAGAATATGTACTGACCGCTATAGGATAAGCAGACAGCACTATGTTCTGGGATTATTTGTTAGAGAAGAGTATATCTGGGTTTATTAAGATCCTGAAAGATAAAAACAAAATCAACACAGGTAGGATAAGGTCACAAAACCACCTCTCAGCTGTCTAATTCCGCCTCTTCTTCATTCCCACCGTTGATGTAACTTATTGAGTTCACCGAAACTCACGAAGTGCAGTATGTAATTCAAAATTGATTTAGTATAATTGAATCGATAACCAGATTTAAAACTAATATGTGCAGCCCAGATGTAAACAATCTATCCACTAAATTCATTTTCGTATTGTTTATTTGAATATTCTCATTGATGTTTAGGACTGCAATTGATTAGCATATGTGCATCCTGTGCGGATTGCCTCGAAATCGCCTCGAGTCACAAGCATTATAAGCAAAGATGGATGGTGGCTAGCAGTGGAATCCAGAATGGGCGTTTCATCCTGTTACAGACTCGTCGGATGGATGTACCTACATCCCAGAGTTGGTGTTCCCTCCCGGCTATCTGAAATCGGTAGCTAAGTGAATAACATGATGGCATTTTGACCAAACGGTACTGGGTTCGATTTCCGGAGTGAACATCAACTCTGGGATGCAGGCACGCCCAGCTGACGGGTTCAAAATAAGACGAGACACACATCCCGGACTCCACTGCTAGCCACTATCCATATTTACCTATAAGATTTATCCATTGTTTGGAGTATTAAGACCTGAAATAAATAAACTCGTTGCTCAGCTTGGATACCAAAAATTCCATCGTAAACCTAGCGTGAATTGTTAAATTTCAGCGCCTTATACAATCTCAGAATGGGTCCCGAAAGTGCGGTTGGGTTTTGCCGAGTTGCATCACTTTTAATGTAGGCGCTAGGTCCGTCTGCGGAATCAAGGACAAGTATGCTACTCAGAAGTTCGCTCCTGTTTAGTTTTTGGCTATGTTTATTTATTTATTTGGACACAAACATTGGTACAAAGGGGGCAACACACTGTAACAGTGATGTGAAGAGATAGAGAATGTAAAGTGCCTATAATAAAAGATAAACAACTGACAGAAATTAGTGTAGGAAAGTGAAGTAATAATAATAATAATAATAATAATAATAATAATAATTGGAGAAGCAGTTCATTTAGGGAAGATACAACCAGAAAGAATTCTTTCGGATAAAGAAATTACTCACACTTATACGAAAAAAGTAAAACGAAGTTACAACAGGATCGCCACTGGTTTATACTCAGATCCATATCTGATAACGTCTCAAGCCACTGTGTCGCACCGTCTCTCGGCCCCTAGCCAGGGAGTCGTGAAGGACCAACAGAAGCCGGTCCTGTACAGCATTCCTTCATACCAAGACACTATATCGTACACTGACCACCTCTCCGCTTTTTCCAACAAATTCCATAGTCGGTAAATAATGCACGACGTGGAGTTCTTTGGGATGACATTCATAGGAAATGTCCAGGCCACCGAAGCCGATGTTTCAAGATCGTGACCAACTAAGTTATCATCTCTGTGCCCGAATACATGGTGCTGGACCTCTGCATTACTAACATGGTGTCGCCACTGGATGTCAGCAATCCTTCGGAGACAACGATAATCGGACACAGAGAATCGTTAACTGAAAGATTTCTCCTGATTGTACCTTTCCGTTCCCCCCATTATTATTATTATTATTATTATTATTATTATTATTATTATTATTATTATTATTATTACACTACCTTACACTAATCTGTTCGTCATTGTTCTTTTTTTTACGCTCCTTACCTTCTTTTTTTTCTCCCCGAATTCTCATTGTTTTGTGTGGCGCATATATATTTGGTGCCCTCTTGTACCAACATTTATGTGTTCAAATAGTAAATAATAACCTGGATGAGTTGAAATACCTTCCGGCAGTTACCGGAAGCGACTGTTGTTTCCAACTCGTCAGCACGTTTCGAACACTGGGCTTCTCGGTCCTTACGCAAGCTTTGCCCGATTTCATTACGTAACGGCCTTCGTTTGTGGTCAGACTCACGGTCACCCGGAGTAAACTGACGGGTTTCAACGAGTTGTAAGGAACCTGAAGAAATCAAGTGCTTATAAGCGGGACGTTTCGCGAAGCCGCAAGCGGCTTTACTCGCCATTTGCATGGAGTCACGCGATTGCAACCAATACTCATCTATACTTTTCGGTGGGATGGTAGCTAGCCTAGAAGCTAGCTCGGTTCGATACTTACTAGCAATGGAAGTTGCAACCAGCTTGCTGACATCAATCCTTTGGTGGCGGTCACTTCGTTGGTCACTGAAAAGTAAGGTAAGATTGGCGCAGACTAGGGCATGATCAGAGTTCAGATAGGTACTCCAAAAGGAGCGGAAGTCTTGTACACAACCACACCAGCGGTAGCTGATCGCGATGTGATCAATCTGAGTCCAGGTTTGAGATTCATAGGGAGGAAGCCAGCTAGCACATCAGCGATGACTGTTTCGGTAGTTAGTGCTAGCCGAAAGCAGATTGTAGTTTTCGCTTAGTTGCAGTAGATGGTCACCTTTATCTGACCTGCGACCAACAAGTCCCCATCGGCCACCTAAACGACTCTCTTCTGTGCCTAGACGCCTGGCCTGAGCATTCAAGTCTCCGGCTAGTACCACAATATCTGTTGAACGCACTTCCGTAGAGGGACAATTAATTGATGGTAAAACCCATTCTTAATCGCATCCGGGCTGCAGTCTGTCGGAGCGTAGACAGAGGACGAGAGGACATCGTTTCTCACACCGATTTCTTCTCACTTTGATGGAACTTTCTAATCTAACAGTAAATAAACTGCTGTTAATAGGGATCCATCCGGTCAGTGCTGCCCCAGCTCTAGCGCTAAGCGCGACACCATTGCTAGCAAGACCAGAAAAATATGCCACAGGGTCCTCAGATAAACTCACATAAAAGGAGCTTTTCAAAGTGATATATGGTGAGCGGATTTGTAGCACTTCCCACTGTATCCACTAACCCGGTTAAAACGTCGGGCATTCTTTTTTTGTCCCCTCAATTTCGTAAACAACACCCCCGCTGCGAGAAGCCGATGAGTAGAACTTCTTTCACAGTAGCCGTATACGCGTGGCCATGTTAGAGCATTTCGAGAGGGAGAATAGACTCTCTCCACCCTCAACTATGTCAAGGCATTTGGTGGCTATGAAAGTAGTCCTTTAAAAATAGAAAGCATTTGTAGATTACTAGTATTGGATTATAAGTGGCTTCAAACAATTGCTCATGTATTTTAGTGTTTCTGAGGTTAGACACAGTACTGTATGAGGATTGCAGGTCAGTTGATGAGACAGAGAATCCTGGTCATGTGAGGTGCTTAGGACACGTATTGCGTATGTCCATCTACTGGCTACCTGGATGCGTGATGATGGCTGGTGTAAGAATAAGATGGAAGTAAGCTAAGGGGTGTCCAAACCAAAAAGTCCCATCAGTTCATAAGGTCACTGACTATTCAACTAGGTCATGTAGGTAGGTGCAAACCACCTGGCTGGAGTCTGCATGATTACCATAACCAGTGGTTGGAGTCGTTGGTTGACATGGCTCAGAATCATTCTCGATGGCTCAAGTTTATTCGCTTTCCTTCTCCCCTTATATTCAAAGTCCCGAAATCTTTTTGTACTTTCTATTCTTTCACATAATTTTTCATAATACTGTTGACAATGTTACTACTTTTATTATTTTAGCGTTTGCTTTGACAAATTTATCTCACTGTACTAATGTGGTGTGGCAAGTTGAACAGATACACGTATGTGTTGAGTGGTACGTTACAGGTTACTGACTAGGTGACTGAAGCCATCAATTCACGATTATTCGCTAAGAAATTCTAGTCTTGGTACTAATCTTTTGATATCTACCTTAAGAAGATAAACACTTATACTATACAATCATGGAATTAAGGTGATTTGATAAGGCAGTTAGGAATGTGGCGTCCCACATATTTAACAAATAATTAAATAAAATTGCCTTTATATGTGATTTTGTAAAAAGGGTAAGTAGCTTTGACCATAGTGAAAATTTCAAGGTCTAATGGTGAAATACTAACCGTTACATTTTAAGGTTTTTTATCATGATTTCAAATGTATTTCATTAAATCTGGGTAAATTTTAGGTGAGCACTGCAAAGGAAACCAATAGTTTATATTTGAGATAATTTAACGCTTTATACGCTTGGTGTTTAAATTTTTGCTGTAGGCCTCCAATGAAGTTGTATCTCGAATTAAATGGCCTATACTCTCCAAGTAGATCAGAGCCAACACTGTGTCGCGTATGTCCACCGAATCTGATGGGACTTTCAATGGTAGACTCAATTCGTGGTCCATTAGTGTCTGTTGGGAATAATCGTGGTGACATCCAGGTGACTGCACTTTTTCAGTTTTCGTTTCATGTACTTCAATGATTACTTAGTTACATTATTTTACTTTATATGGTTCACGTTTCATTATTTAACTAGTATCTGGTGCAATGCCATCGTACAATGTTTAGGAATCTTTTTGTATGCTTTCTGACTAATCAGTGTTCACGTCATATGTTTTTAACTGTGAGAAAGTTACAAAATACTCGGGTTTCTTGATTGTCCTTCAACCTTTTACTTACGCCTGTTACCCCTTGGGGAGGAGCTTAAGGCTCCCATCAGAATTATCCACCGAAAAATGTCCTGGACAATCCTTCCCAGTTCTTTCCAGTTGCCACTCATCCTTTTCATTTCTACTTCCGATTCTCGATACAGTGTGCTCTTTGACCTTCCTCTTTTCTGTTTCCCTTCAGGATTCCAAGTCAGAGCTTGCCTGGTGATGCAGTTTGATGATTTCCTCAATGTTTGTTTTACCTACTTCCAACATCTTTTCTTAATTTCTTCCCCAGTTGGGAGTTGGTGTGTTCTCCCCCATAGTCGGCTGTTGCTGATGGTGTCCAGTCAATGGACATTCAGTATCTTACGCAGACAATTGTTTATAAATACTTATACCTTTTTGATGATGGCTGTAGTAGTTCTTCAGGTTTCAGCTCCGTGCGGTAGAACTAACTGTTTTGACGTTCGTATTGAATATTCTTACTTTGATGTTGGCTGATAGTTGTTTTGAGATCTATATTTCCTTTACTTTAGGAATGCTGTTCTTGCTTTGCCGATCCTTGCCTTTACGTCTACGTCTGCATCGGATCCTCCTTGTTCATCGATTATGCTTTCCATGTACTTGGAAGGTTCCACCTCTTCCAGAGCTTCTCTATCCGCCTGTAGCCCTTCTAGAGTTACTACCAGTCCCAAGCTCTGGTAAAGGAGGAGGGTTGGACATGGGGTCGGCAACCCCATCTCGTAGAGAAAAAATCTTGCTTAAAAAAACACCAACAACTTTGTCATAGTCATATTTACTATAATTTTGTCACCTTCAGTTTTTCCGTGTTATAACATTTGATATAAATACATGTTTATTTGTGTTATCTTTAGATTTGGGATGTATCATCAGCTATATTATGGCGTGAATATCGTGTACTACCGGTACCTATCAAAGGAATTGAATGGATAGCAATACCTCGAACAATTTATAAAAATAAACAAATCAGTGAAGATTCTTCGAGACCATCATCATGTGAATATTCATTAGGTTTAATTGTTCATGGTTGGCAATCCAAAGATGGTCACCAAAGTTCTCTTACTGAAAATTCATCGAATAGAACAAATACAATAGGAAGAAATTTTGTTACTACACTGGACTTATCAACAGGTTATATGCGTATATTTCGTGATATTTCAAATCAAAATATTGACAAGACAGGTCCTCGCATAGGAATCAGTGTTCCCGGTAGTCAACTTTTATCTGGATCCAACGATCAAGAAAATCTTTTTGAAGGACCAATTGACATTCTTTGTGTTAGCCACTTAAAGTAAAGAATAATTTATGGGAATCAGTATTTTTACCGTTTCTGATTATTATTAGTAAATATTGAACCGTTTGCATCTTTTAGGACTCATGTTGTATATTTTTAAAGAGGAATAGATATCTTATGCCGTATATAATTGGTTGATTGAAGGTGAGAACAAACCTTAACGTTGTCAAGTTAGCTAGTATCATAGAAATGTCTATACTGTGAATATAAATCACATTGACTAACTGGATATTAAATACAATTAATTAGCTGTTAATGTGGTATCGAAGGTAAAATTCAAAATAACTATCGTTTACTTTTCAAGTAAGTGGTAATAGATTGAATCTAGGATATTGTGATGTCAAATAGCTTGACTTGGCAGTTTCACCTTAATTCTTAGACTAGTAAAATTTAATCGGCAATAAAAAATTATAATCTTTGGGCATATTTATTTTGTAGTTTTCTGCAATTAATTCTGGAAAAAAGGATGAAACCAGCCTATAGTGAACAATTTTTTTGTGTAAACTGCTTACTTTTTTTTCCGTTTAGCGTTTTTTAGCGAGTTAGTTTTCTACAGGATGGGGTCGCTAACCGCTCGCCCAACCCTCCTCCCTTATCCGGGCTTGGGACCGGCAGTAGCCCCCGGAGGGACTACAGGCGGAGTTTTTGTAAACTACTACGCATAGTTTGTTAACTGTTGAAATAAGCTTATAATTTAGTGAATGTTTAATCATTCCTTTTTCTTGCAGTTACTCATTTGTTGTATTTCTCTGTTTATTTGTCGTGTTATATTGTTTAATTTCTGCAATTTGTCATTTTAGACCAAATTTAAATTATATTCAATACTAAGGCTTTGAAGTATATTGTCTCTTCTTCATCTACAAAAATATAGTTTTAGTAAATATGAGAGTTTGTAAGTAACACAATAGAGGAACGATTATTTAGTGATTAAAATACTTGACTCTGAATTGTTAGGTTACGAACTCATGCATTGCTCCACTCAATTTGGTTCGGGCACATCGGCAGCATCACTAATTTTCATACAAGAAATTGTGCCTAAAATTTGAGTTCACAAACTCCTACTTGATTGTTTTTGACAGGATGCAAAATGTTTGCTACTATATTTCCTATACTACTAAGTTGTATTTGTTTTAAGAGCTAGTTAAACTAATATGACTGCTCATGTTATACAATGGTATATTTAGTTAAATTATAGCATTTTTCCCTCAGTGATGAAAACATGTTTCTAATAAGTGGTTTTCAATGAAACTGATGTTAAAGAATAGTTAAAAAGCCATTCAATTATGCGAAATTTTGAAACATTGTGTACTTTGTGAATAATATAGATTAGGTTCGATTTATTTATAGGATTATTATTAGGCCTCTATCATTTCAGTTTTTAACGTTGGATCTTATGCTTCATACAGAATATTCTTCTTATCACAGTATCTTTTCCATCATATCACTAACAATTTTGTTCAGTATTCAGTGTTAAGTGGAGCAATCGCTTAGTGGTTAAGGCGTTTAACGTTCGGCCACTGTCTCACGTTTGAACTCTTCGCCTACTTCGGTCTAAGCATAGAGGTAGTATCATTGACCCTCACACATAGAGTGTGAGTTTTACCCAAATACCTGGTAAATGAGTTAATTTATTATTTTTTAATGTTTCTTATAACTCTGAATTTCAGCGGTGACACTAATAGTTCGAAATAAAAATACTTGTGAGGTGACTTTTTAGATTTATTGAAATTTTTTTTTTAACTTTAGAAATTAAGTTAAAATTTCTTTTTTATATCTTTTAAATATTTCCAGTCAATACGTTGGTATAGCAATTCGTAAGAGTCCGGTAGAAATATGGAAACTATCTACTTCTTCTTTAATAGTTAAACTACCTTTGCTACCGGATATAACAGCTGTTGCTTTGGTAATTCACATTTATGTTTGGAACATTTTGATTAGTCTTGCTGGTATTTTAGGACAATAATTATGTAGTCGATCATAATTCGTTTGTTTACTGATAGAAAATAATATGCCTCAAGTGGCGTTCATTAAGACTCCACTCCCCTCTATTTTTAAAAAAATGATATGTTAATCTGAATCCCTACTTGAGGGTTCACTTATCATCGACTTCAAGTATGCAGATGATGTATAGTTTTTTTATAAAGCGCTGACAAAATTCAGTTTTATAAATCCCACAAGTACCTGTTGAAATAATCTCTTAGTTCTCTTAGGTGTTTTCATCAATGTGGTATAACTTTCAGTTGTTGACATGCACCTGTTATTTCATTCATTTCACCTTATTTGATTTTGTCAAACAAATTATATCTTTAACATTTACAAAATAGTTCTATTTTTACAATTTAGTCACCGAATGTTGAACATACATCTTTAAGTTTCCAATTACATAGTTTTTTGTCATGTGTTTTGACAAAATTCATGATATTTATTTTATTCATTTCGTTTTTGTAGGACTGGTGTCATTCGCCAACGAAATATCAACGAAGTCGTAAGATTTCAGACAAGAGTTCTAAGTGGGTTCATTATTTAATATAAAAAAGGACTGATTTTTCTTTTTTTTATTTCAAAAGACTTAGCTGTTATATTAGTAAATAGAAACCTTTAATATTGCATTCAATATACAATTATTAAGTAATATTCGTGATTAATATTTTGTTAAACTGCATCAAAAGAACAATATAAGTGTACCCATTATGGTCAGGTTTAGGGTTAAGGTATTCTCATAATAAAAGACTAATATTTGAACGAAGAATATTCTTTTCGATAAATTCTCTTCAGGTTCTATAATTATATATCCAAATTAATAATCCGAAAAATGGCCAGGTTAAGGGCAAAGTACATCGTTTAAAGTATGTGAATTTAGGACTGTCAAACAATAACAATTGTCCAGTGCATCCAGGTTTGCGATGGTTGTCAAACTTAGATCAGCTAGTGATCTGAATATAATTAATTTTTTTATGTAATAAAATGACATGGTTATGCATAAAATAAACATGATGAATTGTTATCCATGGTTGGAGGAAATTAGTTTTTAGGTCACTCACTCCCCAAGTAATTAAGGCCTGATTGTTAGACCTAGTTTTTGAGCATCATGTCAGTATATTTAATTGTACAGTTTACTGATTTTCCTTGTCACAGCTTTTTTTTAAAAAACAAAATCTTATTAGGCTATCGGCTGCAGTATACAACAGGAGTAGTAGGGCAAAATGACATAACCGATAAGTACCATAAAGTTGCTAACAAAATGTATTTCGACTGTCTTTCTAAAAGCCACTTTTTAGGGTATGTAGTACAAAGTTGATACATGGTAGACGCGAAAATGTACTTGTTCTTTCGAAGTGTGATTATTTCCCAGTAACATGCACTTGTACGTATGTGATTTTTGTGCAACATTGAAACTTACGGTCACTGAAACACACAAAATAAAAAAAAGTCGGTTACTAGTCGATGTACGACTTTTCTGGTCATTGTATTCTCTTTTTAAAATATTGAATAATTTATTTCATCTATGTTAATAGAGATTCAGTTTATTTAACACTTTGTTTATATTTCTCTCTAAGACTAACGTTAATTGATCAATCTACAATTGCATAGAAATTTGGATCAATTCATTTAGATGATATTTAGTTTAATGATCAGTTTTGATTGCTAAGTATCACCTCTTTCATTGGTTTGAATTATTTTTTTTCTTCTAAGCAGTACATGTACCAGGTTTATTTAGCAATTTTTAGTTACTGCTTATGTATTCATATGTAAGAAATATAGTTCTAAACGTGTACGTTTGTCTTACACAATATTTATCTTCCCATTCCTTTATTTAAAACATTTTTATTCGTTTTATATCTGTTAATTTAGATCTGAGGACTATGTTCATTCAAAAGAATCTGCTCGTACTCGTGAATCATGTATTATATGCACTTCGGATGGTAATATTCGCTTGATTGCAGTGAATAATGATTCAGTAGATAGCACTTCAGTTTCAAATACAATGTAAAATACATTATTTACTGATATATACTGTTAACAATGTTATGAATAGCCACTCAGGCTTTTCACTAGGTGTAACATGTGTAATCGCAACCAAAGATACCAGCTTAAACAATTATTAAATATTATTTAGGGTATTGGTACATAATTGTGTAAACGTCAGCATAAGCTATCGTTAGAACAAATAAAATTAAAAAAATATGAAACTATAGTTTCATAAGTTAAATGTCAAAATAAAAGATAAAAATAAAATAATTAGAAAGTGGATTGTTAAAGGTATCACTGTATGTAAAAACACAACTAGAATATAGAATAGATGGAATGTGGTTAGCATTAAAATCCAGAACGTACGTTCCGTCCTATTTAGAACCCGTTATTTGGATATACCTGGATCCCGGAGTTGATATTTACTGAGGAACTTACATTTTGTGCCATTCGCTTCAAATGCCATTGCCTTATCCACTTAGTTATTGAGTCCAGATAGCCAATCATAATAGCCACTCAACAACGCAATAATTCAAAACCATTTCAAATTTAATTAAACAACTAGAATATCATACCACATATATAGTCAGGGAGTATCTTGAAATCGGCGAGTCTTTATAATGTGTTATACGTGGGATTGTGTGTGCTCATGAGGTTGTCTACCATTATCTTATCTCTATAAATTTTATTCTTTATGTCCTTCAAAAAATTTTTGTGAGATAAAACACTACTCAGTAGTTGAATTCATGGATACGTATTTGACTATCAGTTGATTTATCACTAATTTCCAACCGGTGCCATGTTTTTCTAGGTCTTAGTGCCTGTTGAATTCAGTTGATCAAGATGCAGTCTAGTTAACGGTTTAAAAAACGTGATATCGCGTTCACTATGTTGAGATACCAGGTGGTTGGAAACAGAACAGTTTCCTATCGAATAACTCCATTTGCCTAACATTTGACTATATTGTAGGAATTGTCATTATCTCTGTTTAAAAACATTCTAAATATGTACGACAGTTAATTAAACTTTTCGCCTTCTCGAGTTCGTCAATTGTGTGGTATGTTTACTTCACTCTGTCAAAAGTAAACCGTAAATTTGGATTATTTACATCATAGTTAAGTATTCGTTTGGACTGTACAATACATTTCGTTTATTTCAGATACTTTATCGTCCAATTTCTCTACGCCAATTTTTTTCTTAATAATACAATTTAATAAAGAACTCAGGGCAGCTCGCATTTGCATCCCAGGTGAAGACCGGTGTCAAACAAAGCTGCTTACTCTTTCACATTCTCTTTTATCTAGTAGTTGACTGAATTACATAAAACCCACATTTCAGGGCATGAATGGATTGCAATGGATAGCTCGAAATCATCTAGAAGAGTTGAACTTCGCAGATGACCTGGCCATTCTATCCCATACGCACGAACAAATATAGACGAAGACAGCTAGTCTAGCAGTAGCTTCTGAAGTAATAAGCCTCAACATACACAAGGGGAAAACCAAGATCCTCAAATGCAACACGGAGAACAATCCAATCTCACTTGATGGAGAGGCTCTGGGAGATGTGAAATCTTTCATGTACCTGGGAAGTATCATTGATGAACAAGGAGGATCCGATGCAGACGTAGACGTAAAGGCAAGGATCGGCAAAGCAAGAACAGCATTCCTAAAGTAAAGGAAATATAGATCTCAAAACAACTATCAGCCAACATCAAAGTAAGAATATTCAATACGAACGTCAAAACAGTTAGTTCTACCGCACGGAGCTGAAACCTGAAGAACTACTACAGCCATCATCAAAAAGGTATAAGTATTTATAAACAATTGTCTGCGTAAGATACTGAATGTCCATTGACTGGACACCATCAGCAACAGCCGACTATGGGGGAGAACACACCAACTCCCAACTGGGGAAGAAATTAAGAAAAGATGTTGGAAGTAGGTAAAACAAACATTGAGGAAATCATCAAACTGCATCACGAGGCAAGCTCTGACTCGGAATCGTGAAGGGAAACAGAAAAGAGGAAGGCCAGAGAATACATTGTATCGGGAATTGGAAGTCGAAATGAAAAGGATGAATAACAAGTGGAAAGGATTGCTCAGGACAGGGTTGGATGGAGAGTGTTGTTGGGCGGCCTATGTTCCTCCACGAGGGGTAACAAATGTAAGTAATTAGGTGGGTGCTATATTTGAGGAGATTACGATACTACCCTAAAACCGGCGAAGTAGACGAGTGTCAACAACACGACAATAGGACAAGCCATTGCTCCCCTGCGCCCTAACTAGATGGAGAAAACCAGATTCAACCAAGGGATATGTATATTCAACAAGCAGCCAGGAGCACGAATGAGCAGACACATAACTCAGGCGTATATCTACTGTACAAAAATGTTCTTGGTAAACTTCACAGAATAGCGTACTAAAAAAGGGAACGAATCAATGACATTTAAGGTCCTTCCAAAAGGAAACTACAAACTAAAGATAAAGTTGGCACTTTTGGCGCGAAAATGAGAAATTCAAATTTCCAAAATAAAATTACAAAAATGAGACGTTTAGCAAGTAATTTCTGGGGATCTATCATCTCCAACAAGGGGTAAGTAAGTAAGCAAGCAGAAAACACATCAGTTAGTTATTATTTTTTAGTTTCAAATCATTTTACATTTAATATGGTTTATTATTATTTTAGTTTATCACATAATTGCGAACACATTTTCTACGTTTTTTATTTGTAAAATTATAGTTTAAACGGTCTACCAACTGTTAGTTTAAATCGAATTAATTCAGTTGCTTGGTTCTCTGATTTGGTTGCTTTTGGCACTTTAGATGGTTTTGTAGCTGTTCGAGATTTACATAGTAAAAGAACATTGTTTAGAACAACTTGTTCAAAGTCACAATCAAATTATTTTGATCAAGCCCTTGGTACCTTTAATGAACAATATTTCGACCCAGATATAATGTTGGAAACAAATACTCCTGTTGTACATCCTTCATTGAATATTCGACGTTTATGTTTTACACCGGGTTTATCGACTTTTACTCGACTTCTTAGTTTGCAGTTTGATTCCGTATGTGTTTGGGAACCAAGACAGGTAAGTTAGTCTACATGGTTTAATTTTCTTATCAGTTCATTATAACATGATTAATAAAATTTAATAAAAACGGACGAAAGAAAGGGTAGGTGAACGTATGAAATTGGGATAATAACTGACAACTACTTGAGTAGCATTAATTGGTAGCGATTTATTTTACAGAGAAAAAGGCGAATAAAGGTAGCGGTGGAAAATATTTTGTTATTGTAGCTTTTATGCTAATATTCTCTATGTCCAAATGGTTTTTTAAAAACCACACCCGTTAGCTGAATAGTCGTTTTAATTCATCACGCAAGAATAAACAATCCAGTTACTTTTTGTAAAGTAACGCGTACCTTGAAACAACTTTATTTTGTGTAGACTTTCAGCTTTCTTTTAATCTCTTAAAAAGCGTTATTTCTGTAGAGCGTCTCCACTGAACTTCGTCTTATTTTCTTTCTTTGTCATCCTGTCATATGTGTGTATGGAGTTGAAATTTCGATTCCTTTTCTTAAAATTGGAATTGTCTTAGTTTTGCTTTCTTAATGTATGGTATATTATTGTGTGTGACGGCGACAAACTGTGAACTCATTGCTGTAAAGTAAAACTGAGCGTATCAGTGTTCTTATTTACCCCATATTTTAATTTTATTAACCAGGTAGACAGTACATATGTATTGATGATATACTTACCAATTAATAATCAAGCATAATCTTCTAATTGAAATTTTGTATTGTCTCCATGTATATTGTAAGCATTTCTGTAGGGTTGAATTATATATTATAACACTCTATGCATGATTTTACATTTCTTACAGATGCTCCTTTTATGTATGATTGAATTCGGTGTATCAGTTCATCATTCCTTAATTTGTGCTGATTGGGTTTCTGTTGTTACTAAATTATCAGATAGAGCTTTGTGTATTCTTTTGGGTGGAGATGGTGCTTTACGACTTGTACAAGCTGGTCAAGCTAATTATGAAATGACAGTTGTTAATTATTCCAATCAGTCAGTAAACCTTGGGAATACAATTACTCGTGGAACTACTTTACAAGATCCGATTTCAAAATTTTACATTCAAAGTCCATTGCCAGATAGACCTGACATTCAAGGTAATTAATTAATATGCTTAAATACTCATGATTTGTTTTCTTAAGAAAAACGATTTCAGACCTTTCATATTGAGTATTTCTAAGTACATTAAAACGCATAATCGTGAAACAAAATTAGTCAATCCTTTGTGACTAAAAACCCTAGAGTTTGCCACACTGTTACCTATAGGTTCACATACTAATGTCGAAACCTATGGGTTATCAAACCAATACGTTAGTCACTTATAAAAACGTAAGTATTATATTGGCAGAAAGTAAGGAAAAAAATTATAAAGCTCGAAAAGCTATTTTCGGTGAATTAGTTAGTGTGTATTTGTCAAATAATTGGTTTATAATGTTTTTACAATCCTATTTTTTGACTTAGTAGTTGATATTATATCTCTGTATATTCATAAATTACAGTGAATTAACTTATTGCATATATTTCTTCATGTCAAAAATACCTTAGCTGGCTCGTTATTTATAGTATGTTTTGCTCTCGCGTTTTAATTACTTACCCACGTGGTTCGTGGGTCTAAATTAGATATACTTCCGATTAGCATTCCTTTGGATTTCTGATTTTCTTTTTGGTGGATTAGGAATATGTGGATTTTGTGTGGAGCTGTCGATGGTTACACGTACGGTATAGGTTTCAGTTAACTCCATTATTTTAGGTGGAAAATAAAACAGTGTTTATATCGATGTTCGCTCAAGTTTTTTTAGTCCATGTTACACATGATGTTAAAGCGTATACTTTTCCCGCCTATATGATGTTTATTAAAGGGTTTATATTTTGAATTCCTTGGTTTTTCTCATATTTATAAATCCATACTAACCTTCAATAAGTCATGTGCTTACGTTGCAAGCAAGTACTTAGACTGATAGAATTATTTGTTCATCGACTGTATTTCATAGACCCACTCTGTATGTTTTTACCGTCGATTCTGTAACTAAGCGAATGTTGACTATCTATCAGGTCGTTTACATAGAGACGTAAGAACATAAAATACAATTATGGGCTTCTCGTTCAAGTTGTTACCTGTCACAACGATTTAAAATTACTGTCAACATTATGATGATAGCTATAAAAAATATCAGAGGGGGTTTTTGTGGATATTATAGTAATTTCAGTAGTTGAGATTATGAGGCAATTGAAGCTAGTTATAAAAATTCTGGTTAAAAAGGGAAGGCGAAAAAGTTTGTATCAGATTAGGCAGAGTTGTGGGTACGAATGCAACAAACAAACAGCATTATCATTTTTAAAAGTTGTTTATTTTCTCCAAAAGATCACCTCAATAATTACCCTTTTTCTGTATGGCTAACTCATCTATACACGCACTGAACTTGGTAATTACAATTTAAACATAAGTGTATTCATCTATTTCAAAATGATAGGTGAAGGTTTGATAAAATTATGTATTCACATAATCTAAACTGCATACAATAATCAAGTGTGTGGATATTACAAATAAATATGTTACCTAATGTAACGTTTTACGAAATAGAATCTAGGCAAACTTTGTCCATTTAGTTCTGTTATGTTTTCTTGTCTTTCGAGCTCAGTGTTCTATCTCCATTCGTAAGATCTTAACAATTTAGAGTGGTGAATTAATTCTATGTTTTTTATAGATAGGTCCAACTGTATCTTGTTTTTTCTTGAAGATTAAACAAGTCTTTGTTACTACAATTAGACTTGAAGTAGTACTATTAGTCTATCTTAACAGATAGTTAAACTAATGACTGATTCATTTAATCGATTTACGTCTGGTTGTTGTACTTTTTCAGGTTCATCTATTTCAACCATTATGATGAACAAATGTTTACTTTCGAATTAAGAAAGTTTATTTAAGCTTTGCTTAAATTTATTAATAAATTGTAAAATTCAACTCTTCATTTATGTTGTTAAATACATAAACTCGTTTATAAGCATCCCTGAACTTGTTCAATCTTTTTGATAATGAGCATTTATTTAGCTGTCTGAAACACAGTATTATTTTAGACGTTCTTTACATAAGTGTACATATTAGCTTAGTATTTAAGTTGGTTTATTGTTATTAAATTTTGTATATTTCTATTCATTTCTATGATAGTTCACTATAAAAAAATGGTTGTGACTTAATGGTAATACCGAGGCGATTTACATAAAGCAAAGAAAGACTGTTAGGTTGTTGTCCTAAGCCATCAGTAATAAGATTGAAACAACCAATACAAATAAAAGAAATTCACCCCGTTGCACAAAACAGTGGCTATTTGGACTCTAATTAAATAGATAACACTACGGGGTTTGGAGTAAACGGTACTGGATTCGATTCTTGAAGTAAGCATCAAATCGGTTACAGGTGTATTCAGCTGATGAATCTCAAACAGGATGAAATGTGCGTTCTGCATTCCATTGTTAGTCACCACCCAACTCCACTTAAAAGGTTCACTAAGAATTTTTGTTTAATCTAAGTTTGTTTACACTTAAAGTTTTACTTTTTCATTTTAGATCCTGTTTTAGTCCCGTCGTTACTTCCATCCATCACTGCCCTAAATATTCGACATCTCTTACAACATCAACCGTGGTGTAAAAAGTCTCAAAATATCCCTTCGATTAAAAATGAGAATTTATTGATTGATATAGCTTCTAGTTCTCAAGCGTTAACATGCGATCAGACTACCATAGCTAATACTGAATCAGACCAAAGCTCTTATTCTAGTAGTGACTGTTCTCTGCTTGCTCCTGGTTTTGCAAAGATTCAGAATTCTGTAAATATATTCCTATATGGCCTCAAAACAAGGTATACTTGTGACCAAATTTTTTCCGCATTTTCATTTTAATAAACTTTCATCTTATGTACATTTATTGCTGGATTAAGTAACAGCTGATAATATGGTGATAAGTCCCCTTTTCATAGAATGTTTGACTTGATTTCTTCACATATACCATTAGTTGGACACGTTAATTGCTTTAATTACGGCAGGACTTACATGACCTCTGATATGTTGGTTACCGAAAGACCTATGTCACTTGCTACATTTTCTCTCCTGTAGTACGAACCAGATATTCACATATCGACGAACGAGGATACAGCACATAACACCTGTTGATCTTCTGTGCCATTAGTAATACCCAACGTTCAAGATATGTGACGTAAAAGCGTTTTTTAATTGGTGAAGTTCCAGTAGTAGTACTAGACATCAAGGTTTAAATAAATCATTTGATTCCACCATTGATATTTCCTCTTAGTACCTATGAGGTTAACTGGAGTTTATTAGAATGGTTTTCCATGTCTCAGAATACCTTATTGTGATTAGTCTTTTCTTATGTTACGATACGTAACAATGTTATTTGGAGATTGTTAGTGTATGTTTTCTTTTGGTCTCTAGTTATTACAGTTCTGTGTCCATGCAGAGATTACAATTTGAATTAGTGTCTGCAATCCTTTGGACTTCATGCCCGTCGTCGTTTAGGACTTAACAACAAGTTTTTGTACCTAGTTGAAATAAGATATTTTATTACACTTAGCCTATCTATAACACAGTTATTCTATCAGTGTGTTCTTTTGTGATATAAAGTGACTGATGGCTGCGAAATGTGATATTTTGTGCCAAATCTCTATACGTTACATGTGTTGAGTTTTGCTCCGGTTACAGTGTGGTAAGTTAGAAATTAGCCTACCAATATGTTTTTATTGAAATTCAAGATTTATGGATACTTAGTTTGTAAGACGTCGATTAAAGTATAAAACATCAACACATGCATTACTTTTTATTATAGAATCATGGATTGTGACTAGTTTCTACCTATATTTTGTTCATTTATTTGTGGTACTAATTGTCTACATTTTTCAATTGACTTGAAGTATGATGGACCTTGTGATTTTGTTTGGAAAAGGCGTACAAGATTTAGTGATTTGTAGACATATTGTAAAGAAGTATAAAAATATTTCTGGTGTGATGAGCAAGAATTATGTAGAGTTTGAACTTGCCTACTAGTTGAGTCGTTTTGTTCTTATCAACTAATGTGGCTTTTGATTTCAACATTATAAGTATACCGTAACGATGATAAACAGTGTGTCACTTAGATCGAAACTGTTTAGTAAATTGAACATCATACAAATTTTTTTTTAACAATATCTCACACCAGTTTCTTTGTCCACTTACATTGTAGACATGAATTATCTACCAGTTTTATGAACCTGTCGAATACTACCATTATTGAACGTTGTTTATGGACTGCTCAATTATTTGGCGATGTATATGAAGTAAAATTTTGGCGATTGGTTGCAAATCGTTTACTATACAAAAAAGCTTTACATCACAATCCACAACAATTAAATAGCCAGTTATGGTCTCGGTATTTTTTAGATTTATCTTGGGATTTTTTAGCTGACTGTGATTTATATCGTCAGAATGTTGAAAAATTTATATCATATATGGAAAAGTCGCATAATTCACCTACTGAAATTATGGATTGTGTTAATACACTGATTATGGTCGGTAAGTATTAATTTGACTAAGGTTTCGGTTTCGGTAAACGTGGCAGCATAGACAGGTTTAGCTTATTGTCAGTAGTTGTCAGTTACACATTGATAATTGCTCCTATAAGAATATATTTATTATATTGTACCGAATCGTTATTTCTCTATTTTCACACTTACTGATCTACTATTTGACAACAGTAACTTGCTAGGTTTGAGAACGCATTGTCCATCAAAGTCTACTATCGCTCTGTCCACATCACGGTTATTAGGAATTCCTTGCATCTTTATTATTGTCGTCGGGATTTATTCTCAACCTATTATCCAGACAAAACGGGGTGTCGTAAGAGTCTTACTCATCTTTCGTTGATTCTACATGTTCGCGATTTGGTTTCTATGTTACTCAATATTTTTAAAGTTACCACTGTCCTCATCCCATAAGTTCTGTAGGAAGCCGCCTCTGCATGGAAAAAGCAGACTGACAACATTTAAGGAAGATTGCATTTCTAATATTTATTAGCTACATCAGTATGTACTGCCAACAGACTTAAAGTGGTAAATTGACAACCATGTCTTGTCTCTGCTATACGTTCGTGTTTTACGAATTTCGGTCTAATTTGATCTCCGTTTAGTACAGTAGGTGCGTCATCCTCCAAATGCCCTGCTACGGCCGAGAGTGGGGGAGTCCGCTCTCCCTCTCGAAATGCTCTCACATGGCCACGCGTATATAACCTCTGCCAGGGAAGTCCTACTCACTGCCTTCTCGTAGTGGGGGTGTTGTTTACGAAATTGAGAGGACGAAAAGCGAATGTCCGGTGCCTTAAGCGGATCCCAAACCAATGGTGCACAAGGGCTCTAGTATCCTGCGGGAACAATTGGCGTATGAACCAATCGTTGGTCACCGGCTACCATGGGACTGCATCTCCTTACGATGCTCCACTGCCTTGTGGATCAGACCTTCAGGTCGAAGGCTCCGAGTGTGGTCCTCTAAGAAAATCACCTGCTTCGGTTTGGGCACCCGGGCAATATCACAGCCCTCACATAAATGAGATTTGTGTGGCACATATGGATTTGGTGCCTCCTTGTACCAATATCTATGTGTAGGTGCATCATAGTTCCATATAAAACGACTTCTTAGTAGAGACGTATTTGCTTCGTGATAGAATTGTGCAAACCCTGTACTGTATTTATAGCAGCTTTTCAAAACCCATATAAATGGTTTCATTTGCTATATATATATATATATATATATATATATATATATATATATATATAAGAATTGATTCAAGTTACAAACTTAAGCGACTACGTCAAGGTTTCCGATTGTACCCATGTAAAGTGCCAATTACAAGTTTCCTAATGAGAATGGAATTTGTCAGGAACTTGATAATCCTAACACTAACAAACACTTGGATGAAATATCAGTCCTCTTAAACTTATTTACATTCATTTCATTCCTGCATTCATAAGTGAATTTTGCCCTCAACAATCCAACTTATCGTAAGTATCAGCATATGGTTATCAATTTATTTGTATTGGTGTTTTTGATTGCAATTAATTAGTCTTTTTTGGCATGTTTACATCCCGTGTAGATTACCTCGATAATGCCATTAAATCATAAGTCCTATAAGCAGCAATAGATGGTGGCTAACAGGAGAATCCAGGACGCACGTTTCGTCCTATTTGTGATTCATCGACTGGATACACCCGTATCCGAGTAGATGTTCACTTCAAGACTCAAATCCAGTTACGTTTGCTCAAAACCCCGTAGTGTTATCTATCTAATTGCTGAGTACAGATAGCCACTGGTTTGTGCAACGGGGTGAATTTCTATTTATTTGTATTGGTTGTTTGGATCTTCCCGACTGCAATTAATCAGGGTTATGATTGTCGAGTTTCATTGATATCTCAAACCGATTTAAGTTAGACAAGCAATAAAATTCTGAAAAAACAGGATGAACATTCCGTGCTAGTATGTGAGTCTTCGAAATCGCGCTTCCACGACCCCTGTAACTTCATGATGTTTAAATCACTAAAATTGCTCATTGGATAGTCTACGGTCAACATCTTAGTCTGAAATGGCTCGATGAACGTCACTCTAGATTGATGATTCTACCATGACCATAAACTCGCTCGTTCGATCCTGATTGGTTTGGAAATACAGAGTTTAGCCTTATCAGTCTTGCTTTTTAAAAACCAAACTATTAATTATTATAATTATAATTTGAGTTATCTGCAATTTCATTATGATTGAAGTAACAATAATTAACTAATTTTAATTTAGGTCAACAGGATCGTGCAGTTTCTTTACTACTGGAAACACCTGCAGATTCAAGTAATTATTCTATAAATATGTATCGTGCTTGTTTGTTTACGGCAAATATTGCTAGAAAATCTCTTCTGTCCGAGTCTAGCGTAAATCAACCAGCAGAAGATAATTATTTAAGTGTAATAAAATTAGTTGCTACAAATTTACTTTCTAATGGAAAAATTAATGATGGTATTGGTTTATTGTGTCTTATTGGCTTACAAGTTGATGCATGCCGTTACTTAGAATCGTTCGATCGATGGGATCGTTCTGTATGGTTAGCTAAGGTAGTTATTTTATATATTTGATCATTTTCGACCGTATAATATTGACAGTTAATTTTATTGATACAATAATTCCTTCTGATGATAATTTCTGTCAAAAACTTTTAATGTATTAAGAATAAGAGGAGGATATTTTCCTACACTAACTTAAAAGTACTGAATACTGTCTTAGAAAACTGATCTAAATGAAGTTAGGTGATAAGTCTTTCATTAAAACAAATGTTTTGTGCCTCTAACACATACTAACCAATAATAAATCCGCTAATTTTAGCATTGTAATACGTTAACTCTTGACAGGATATGCAACATTCTCCAGAACATTCGTCAGAACATCGGAAAAATTATTATTAGACGAGACTAGAATTTATGGATGAACAAATCAGATTTAAGATAAATGATCTTGAATTTTGGAGCAAAATTCATTAACTCATTTGGCTAAATACCATTTTGGCATTCTAGCTAATGTTAATTCATGATGAAAACATTAAATTTAATTCATAACACTAACATTCAACTACAAATTCTAATCCTAATTCCTCACACCAATATATAACCCTCATTTAACCCTGGTAAGTGTACATTCCAAGGTCATTTTAGTGTTGTTCAAAGGTCCTCCATAAATTGTGGTCTTACCTACAACTACTAATAAATGACGAATTTCGACAAACAAACAAACAAACAAACAAACAAACAATGTTTGTAATATAAAATCTAAACAAACATATTTATAATTAACTGTAATTTCTAAATATCAAATTATATTGTAACAGTTAATAAGTCAAATGTAATGGGAATATTATGAATTAGTTATATATACTAAGTGATATCTATTGAAAAATAACTTTCAAAAAGTTTCACATTTTTACTAATTTCTTTGTTCCTTAACAAAATACCTGTACATGAACTCTGATTCTTTCTTGATTTTTGTTTTTTTTCGTTGACATTATTTAGTATTGATAACTATGTCCGAATGTTTGTCTTAGATTACGTTTTCTATTCCTGGCTATTATTTCATCTAGTTCATATTATTATACACTAAGTTATACGTTTTATTGTAAGGAGTTATTGAATTAATAAGATGAAAATCAATTTTTTATAGATTCTGAAATGGATAGTGGGTATTTTGTTCGAGTCCAGTTGCGATAGTTCACTTAATGTCATTGTCTTAAAATATTGGGCTCGGTGGATTGAACATGTATTATGAATATCATCATAATAGCTTTTACTTAGCGCGTTGATTCACGACTTTAGGACTGGGTGGAAAAAGCGAAGAGGTGGAGAGTTTATGAAATGGCACTGGGATATGATAGAAAGCTGTGTAAGACTTGTGTCTGTTAATTCATCACCACTCTCTGGCTGAGATGCTAGAGATGAGGAAACTCAGCAGTGATGTTATCGTAGTTCTTTTTACAATCATCATAAAAGTAAGAGGAACTCTCTTAGCTAAAAATATTTCTTATAGTTTTGTTTCCAACTGAACTATATCTCCTATCATGTATCGTTCTCGTTCACTGATCTATTTGGTTGTACACCCTTCTCCTTCCCTATTCGTCCACAATCTTATCGTCGTATTTGGGTGCCACTTTTCTGTTGTTGGCACCCAGTTGTACCAGAAGATATGTATATTGAATAAAATAGAATACTATATTTATTACTTGCTTATCACTAGACTATCATTTTTTAATTATCGTGTTCCTTTTTTAGTGTCCGTCATCATTTACTGTTCTCACTTCCGCCTGTTTTTTTTTTTCAGTGTACATTATCAATTGAAGAACATGATAAAGTAATGAGACGTTGGGCGTCCTATTTAGCTTCATCTCAGGTTAATCGAAAAGTATGTCCAGATTTGTTTTCAATTATTCATTTTCATTGAAATGTACCTTGACAATTATGTATTTCAATGTGGCACGTCTATCTAGGGTGTTCCAATTATTTACTCATGTTTAGTTAATTTTCCCTTCTGTTTATTATATTTGAGTGTCGAAAATTAGTTGTTTTCACTAAAACACTTTTTCAACTGTTTGTTTTCTCCGGATATTCAAATATTTGTTCTCATATTTTAATATAGGACGATAAACAAAACAGCACGTGCCTAGACATCATTATCTTTTCCTAATATTTGGTTCAGTAGAATTACAAGTATTATAAATGTATGTTGGTGATAGTTAACTCGGAATGTTGAAACACTAAATAACTTATTTGGTATTAGCATAATATATACGTAAATACTTTAGATTCGACATGTTTGCTTGTGTATATCAAACATTCCTCTCCAGGACTACATTTCCCCCCATTTGTATTCACAGTTTGGAAGTACTAGTTGATCAAATACAATATTCATTTCATTATTCTTATTTTTTTCTACTTATATCGCTTAATATTGGTCTTCTACGTTTTCAATAAGGGACTGTATGCTCGTATAGCTGAATCAAGCTCTAAGTTGTATGAATCATTATAAGTGTAACTAAACTTGAAAAATATACGTCTTATACTATTAAAATTAAGTAAATATCACCTTCGTCTATTTATATTTCGTTGATAATCACCAACCTAGAGTTATGATGATGCGTAGTAATGTAGTATACGCTCTTTGTTTACTTCCTCTAACTATTCGGAGTTATTGCAAAAGAAAACAAACAAATTACTGTCACTTCATATGTATGTTTAATTGTTATTTACGTGTCGTAAATAGTGTTTTTATCTGCTAGTAAATCATTAATAAAACTTGATTGACAGTTATTATTCACGAATTATTTCGTCATCAATGCATTCGCTCATCACCTTCATGATTCTTAATTGGTTGATTTTTCATGCAATAGTTTACTGCTTATTCATCAGTTGAAGGATGACTGAATGTCAAGAGATAGTTCTTGCTTTTATCTATTAAGAATCACATTTTTAAAATCTAATCTTGAGTCTATATCTTTCGAATTCTTTTGTGTACTTTACAACCATAATCTTTTCTGTAAGTAGAGTCTCCTTCTAAATTTGTAACTGTAACTAATGATTTGAAAAAATTACGATGATTATTACAAGCACTTCTTTTAGATTTTCAACTTCAATATTTCAAGTGATCAACATCAGTTCAACACTTAAATGTTTTTACCTTGAACCTATTGCATCTTCGCCTGTGTAACACGAATATAAATACAATCTCCTACTCAATATTAATAATCATTGCAATCATAAGTTATACTACATTTTTCTTACTATCACGCTCCAATCTTATTGCACTGTTACAAATCACTGTGATTTAGGTCAGTTTATGTCTATTAGCTATCTGTAATCTATAGTCCATTGAACAAAATTGTTATGATTATAATAATTACCTTTCTATAACTTACTGTTTATATTTTCAATGTTTATAGTAACAATAATATGACTATTTTGTTTTCTCTTTCTTTCCTCTTTTTTTAAAAACAAACATCTTAAAGGATTTAGCTATACTCATTTATGTTTATTTAGAAGATCATTCTAATGTCTTAAAGTTACTTTTTAATCTTAAACAATATCAGTTAGCAGCTAGATACCTGGAAGCATGCCGTGAATTAAGCCTATTGGATACAACTAAAGAAACAGGTAAGTATTTTGTCTTTTTTGTTTTAATAAATTGGGATTATTATTATTCTCTCTCATATAGAGATTTCGTTTAAAAAATCTTTTCTTATTTGTTTGGTGCATGTGTAATCAAGGAATTAAGCTTGTGATGAACAGTGTTTGTTGATAAAAATAACATCCAGTTGTTTCAATTTCACTTAGTCAATTAACAATGAAATTCTAGACTTGTATTATTCAATTCAAATGATAAATGGTAAGAATATGTATTATATATTTTAAATCTGTACACATAGTTGGTGTAAGTTATAAACCTTTTAATCTGTCTAATCAATTACATAATTTCTTAGTTTAAAAAGTATGAAGACTTTAATTTGATGAATTGTTATACCACTGCATTCGCCTGTTTAATATTAGTTTTCGTTTTATTTTTATTTAAGAGAGGAGAAATTCAAGATCGTTTATGTGTTGTAAAACATTTCATATTGTTCTATATATTTGTGGTGGTCGGTATTCGATATAATCCTTAAACTTCGTATACAGCTCGTCTTGATAACCATTCTGTATAACGTCCCAACGGTATATTAATCAGAAGGCAAATACGGAGTGTTGATTACGTTTATTGCGAGACCACACACATATATCCAAATGTACAGATGCGTTAAACAAGCATAGAAGAGTTGTGCTGAAAGGCGAGCAAGCGAGCGAGAGCCAGAGCCAGAGCTAGACGAGAGTGCGTGTGTGTTGAATATGAATAATATGGACGTATATATACCATGTGAAATGAATGAGTAATCGAATCAAATAAGCAGTTAGTAGTAAGACTAACAGAGTGAATAAATGCGTAGGCCGTAATCAATATTCAAGCATGCGTATTTCATACAAGCACAAAATAATAAGGATACAATAAGTTGTTATAGTGCGGATGACTTTTTCCGCTAAATGAGTTAGCAAAAGGGCTTAACTGAGTTAAATGAGAATAAACTCAATTGTACGTGAGTCACTATATATTAAGCTGTGTAATCTGATCTATTTTAGCATGTTTCGATAGGTTAATTTGATCATCTTGTTGTCAAAGTGAAGTTGTTTTATTAGAATGATTTTTGAATCACCATGTTAAAGAAAATAGTTGCTATCCTAAAAGCACGACAAAGCTGCCAGAGAATCTAAGACATTCCGTCAAATCAGCACCCAATAGAACCTTCTGGGATATCAACGTGGCATACTAAGATTGAACAGTAGCATAACTTACCTCTTTTCGGATTGGTTGAATTGTGATGATGTTATAACAAACGCTAATATCTATAAATACTCATGATTTTTTGTACATTTTGATTCTTATCCAGTAAACACTTCTTCAGCCTTCTGTCTTCTAATTTTGAGACTGGGGTTCTAAACATTCGAATGCCGTAGTTGTATACCGTATTCTGCGTTAATCAAGTAGTGAACATAACAAAGTATAAAATAAGTTATGATTTTCGGTACATTATGCTGATATCATAAACTATGTTCGCATTTTTTGATATTCACTAGTGTGAAAGGATTCTAACTGTGGAAATCAGCACAAAATTGATTTTGATTTAAGAGTTTATGTATGTATATAATTATGATACTATAATTTTCAGATTTGCCAATATCATATGTATTACATAATTAACATTTTATAAGTCACAATATTTACCATAATAAATTCATAGTAAGAATAATTAATATTTCGTTTACATTTTTTTAAAATACAGAATCATTTTACGAGTCAATATTTTTGGAATTCGGTTCATTTCTAATAAAACTTGGTCATCATGAAGCTGCTATGTATTATTGTAATTTAGCTGGAAAAATGGCTGATTCATTAAAAGAAGAAATAGATTTTCTTTTGTCGTAGAATAAACTTTAAACTGACAATAACATTCATCATCATTTTTGAACTTCATGATGGTGATGATAAGAAACCAAACAATTTTTGCCATTTCCTTAATCTCATATTTTCTTTTCTGTTCATTCCTCATTTATTTTAACCAAAAATACGAGTGGATATTGTTGACTGTGATAGATAGAACAATATATATAATAAATTATTTGACTTGACTAATATTATATTCCGTTTTGCACCTTTTTTTGTATTTTTTTTTACTTGCCAGTATATATGTATGTGTGTGCGGATAAAACTATTTTTCACTTTTTTTGTATTTCTGCTTTTTTTTTCAAAAAGTGTATTCTCAACTTTCCTGCCAACATTTCAATTTTGTTGTTTTGAATTTTGTTTGTATCGTCGTTTTTCTTCTGTTTTCTATTTGTTTATATATTTTAAAAGAGAAAGAGGAAATAATCATTTCTACGTGTGATTTTCGTTAGTATTCTTTATTCGACTTTTTGTATTCAATTTATCGATATAACTGTTATCGTATGAAGTGTGACGTCGAACACCACAAGTTATTTGAAGTTAAACACGTAGACCGTCGGTTGTTGTCTCAGTAGTTTAAAGATTAAGCACTCCCTGCCAGTTTTGATGATTGTAGTTTCGATCCTCTAAGGAGTTTTTAGATGCGCACTATTTTTGAGGAGTCTCATATTGTACAAATCAGTTGTCCACTACTTCCTAGTTCTGTGTTCTTGTCTTACTTAAGCCGGTTCTTATTTCCAATAAACTTTTGGATTAGTTTTTTTTCTCATTCCCATCGTTAGTTATGATTTGTATTTCTATTCAAGTTCGATACTAGATGACAGCATGAACCATACATTTTTCAATCGTCTAATAAATTTATCACATTCTATGACCATGATATTAACAGTTAGGGACTGAGATTAATCAAAACGGTTTTGAGGAACTTAATTTATCGCCCAATCAGCAACAAAAGTGGTCGAAATTATACTCAATGAAATCTCGTTCCGTCCATAGTTGAGTTGAGTGTTTTATTATTTCGTTCTTTTTTAATAATATAAGGATGCAAATTCTACTGATATCAATTAACGTTACTAAATTTGTCAAAGTGAATTGTTATCATGTTTAGTCATGTCGTGTAGATCTAGTTTGGGCTTTGAACTGAAGACAGAGGTTTTATTTTTTAGTTGATCTTTGAGTTGCTAGAGTTAGATGTATAAACCACTTGGTGATGACATTTTTTGTATTTTCACAGCATCGGTTTCGTTGATCTAAATGTTGACATTAAGTGTTTGATATGAAGTAAGCAAATATTTTAATTATTTGTGGATTTATTTATTATTAGAATCTGAGCTTTCGTTACCTCAAATAGTTTCAATACTTGTTGCTTGTAAGATGATTTTTCCAGTGAAATACGAATTTGCGAAACTGATTGGTTTTTATCATCACCTTACATAGAATAATATCTCTAGTACGTCTTTAATTATAAAATCTCAGAAACGTAGATTTTATTAAAGGATCTAATTTCCGTAATTGATACTTTATTTATTATCTCTTTCTTTATTTGGTGTGGTCGTTACGAATGCGCACCGAAGATCAAACTAGTGATTATGCTCAGAACTTTTGGGTACATTCAGACCACTAAGTTGGCATTCAGCAGTTTACATTACTAGCTTCAATTGATCCTATATATTACTCAGCCAATGTCATCGGTAGGTAACTGCATATTAGTGCAACCTGGTTTACAATAGTTGTTTAAATAGGTTCACTGCATGATGTGAAATACGAAATTCTACAATCTCCACAAATCCCTTATACAAGTTCGAGTTTATGAAACTGCATCATCATTGATGCCTACACTCTGGGTCATATTTTTAGTTCTTTGCGTTATGCTACTTTTCCTTAAATAGTAGTTTGAAATGTAATCAATCATTTACTTAGTCTTTTTCGCAACTAGTGTTATCTCAGGATTACAACGAATCAATTTTTCATGTATTAGTGTTTTTATTGAAAGATCTATCTGTTTCCTGAGGGTAGTGCCTAGTGTATTTTCGTTAATTATACTCTTGTTTGAAATGGAGCTGTGGCTGGTGATTTGTTGTAAATGCTGTGAAGTTTTTCAACCTGAACTATTCACTGACTGTGTTTCGGATCTAAGCATCTTTCAAAACTAAGAAGAAGTAAGTTACAACGAATGTTATCCAATGTTATTTTCTAGAATATAAGATAATGAAATCATGCTTTGTTAGCTAACCTCCCAGATAATGTTTAGAATAAGATATTAAAGTGAACAAACAGCGTTAAAAGAAATTTAATAACAGTTTATACATTCGCTTACTATCCTATCCAAATAAGTTTTTCGGTTAGTTAAGATAACTATAATCTGTACATACATTCGAGTCATAGTTGACTTAGATCCGGTGGAATAGATTTTTATCCCATTTAATTCATTACAATAGAGACAGTGTAAATTGTAATGACATATAAAGTATATTACAAAAACTTGTACATTTATTGAATTGTATTATTATCATAACTGTTTATTTGCTTACGTTTTATTGTTTAGAAGTGAATACTATTTATATCCCTGATTTCATCAACACACTGGTGTCAAGTCTATGAAATATTTGAGAAATTAAATGATGCATAACTTATAAGTGATGTGTCAAAACATTGTTTGTTCTTTGATTTGACTGTACATTATACAGATCATTTAGACTTCTATGGTTAAGTATAAATATTTAGGTAAATTATAAATAGTTCGGTTTTATGATTTTGAAAAAGCAAATCTAATTAAAGAACTGATAAGAATTCGAATAGATAAATAGTGTTGACAGTTAAAGAAAAAGGAAAATATTGATGGGTGGCCAACTGTTGGCTATCAATCTCCTATACAATGTGAAGCGATGCATAAACATTTTAACAGTTTAAATTTACATTTGTCATAAATTGTCATGTTTCATTTTATGTCAATATACTGATATTTAGTATAAGAAAGTTAACTTATTGACTATAAAAATGTACACTTATTTTGGTTTTTATGTTTATGAGATATTAATTCATAATGAATTGAAAAAGAAATACAACTTTTGTGTTATGTTTTATTACTGATTAGAGTGAAGTCTTGTTAACATTCAGAAAATCCACTCCATTATTCTGTAGCCTTCGTTTTGAAATTGATTTGAACCGTTGTGCACATTTATCGACTTTTATTACTTCCCTAAATATTTGTATTCTGGATACATTTTTCCAAGTTCAAAGCATCATGCATAGGCGATGTACATCTGTGCGAATGAATCTTTTAAGTGTCATTGAAAAGTCTAATCTATTGGTCACTATCTAGTACTTGAATTTCGGAAGCATTTTTGTTAATTACTCAACTATTGTTTAATTAAAATATAGTTATGATAAAACATTTTACCGACTCGTAAATGTGAAGTCGATGATCTTTTATGGTTACTTTAAATTGATCAATAAATTATTTGATTTTATTATTTCATCATTATGAGCCTCTTCTCTAATCTCCTAAACATTATCTCAGTTTTAAATAAGCATTAAAAACTTGGACTATTCAAGTGAGATATAATGGTCAACACTGAAAGCTGTAGCCCACTAATAAATGATAGAACTGTGTTTGAATCTAGAAAGTATCCATCACTCAACAATTTAAATCTAATTTCTTATCAATATTAATAGTTTAATTAAAAGGAATTTTAGACTGGTGCTCTAACATTTAATGAAGTAGTCTTGAAACATTTCAAGTTCCATGAAGTTCATTGATTTTAATCAAATCAAAATGGTTAGTTTAAAATACAATAGGCTTACTATTAAGTTTGTTGCTTCATAAATAGTTTTTTTAAAACTATCTATGTTAATCTAGATGTAAAAATTTCTGAAAACTAAAACAGTGATCCAGCATACACAAGGGGAAAACCAAGGTCCTCAAATTCAAAACGAAGAACGGCAATCCAATCACTCTTGATGGCGAAACTCTGGAAGATGTAGAATCCTTCACATACCTGGGAAGCATCATCGATGAACAAGGAGGTTCAGATGCAGAGGTAAAGTCGAGGATTGGAAAAGCAAGGGCCGCATTCCTACAATTGAAGAACATATGGAACTCAAAACAACTTTCAACCAATATCAAAGTGCGAATCTTCAATACGAACGTCAAGACAGTCAGTTCTACTGTATGGAGCTGAAACTTGGAGAACTACAACAACTACCATCAAGAAGGTAAAAGTATTTCTAAATAGCTGTCTACGCAAGATACTCAACATCCATTGGGCGGATACCATCAGCAACAGTCTTCTCTGAGAGAGAACAAACCAGCTTCGAGCTGAAGAGGAAATTAGGAAAAGATGATGGAAATGAATAGGACATACATTACGCAAATCATCAAACTACATCACAAGACAAGCCCTAACTTGGAATCCTGAAGGAAGGCGGAAAAGAGGAAGTTCAAAGAACACATTACGTCGAGAAATAGAATCAGATATGAAAAGGATGAATAACAGCTGGAAGGATCTGGAAAGGATTGCCCAGGACAGGGTTGGATGGCGAAAGCTGGTGAGCGGCCTATGCTCCTTCGCGAGGAGTAACAGGCGTAAGTAAGTAAGTAAGTAAGTAAAACAGCGATTCAGAATAATCTAACTTAAAGAACCATTTTGTTTCATTTTAATATATTTTCTCTGAAACCTATCTTTAGACTAACGTTGGTCTAATGCTTAGTACAATATATATCCAGAATATTGTGCAATATTTATTTTATATGCACTACGTTCCATTTAGAAATGTTTCGGCGAGACTATAATTTATGGACGAGCCAATCAGATTTAGGATAACAGGTCTCAGATTTCGGTGCGAAATTCACTCATCCAGTTGGCTCAATAGCGTTTTGGCCTTTGTGATGAAAACCCTAAATCTAAATCCTAACCTTAACCATCAACTTGTGAATCATAATTCTAATTCACCACACTAATTTATAACCCTCATTTAATACTAGTAAGTAGGTGGGCGTTCTCAAGGTTACTTTAGCGTCGCTCAAAGGTCGTCCATAAATCGTAGTCTCACCAATGTTTCTTTTTCCTTTTAGCTTGTAGTCATTTTTTAAAAAAGAATTTGACATTATTATTAATTTGTGTTCCTATCACTATTCAAACCGTTTGTTAGAAGGAATTTTAAACCGTTACTTAAATTGACCAACTGCATATGATCAGAACATTGTGGCTTTGTGTTGGCGTTTAAGTTATACAAATATAGCTAGTTTACAGTCAAACTGACCACAAACAGGCGGTTACACGGGATTTAAACCTGGTTTTATATCTCAAGTAATATACTTTGACTATGGAGTAAATCCGCATCTTCGTGTTAGAAACAATCGCATAGTATAATTGGTTTCAAAATATTGAGGGGTCACATATACACTATGGAAGACGTAATAATGTTTAATACTAACATTGCAAATGCATTTAATTTTTGTTAGTCTAAATTATTGTAAGTCATCAACTGTATCCAGACAAAAAATAAATGAACGTACAATAACCGTTCAGTTACATGAAATTTAGTTTCCAAAAGAAGTTTCACCTGTAGTTTACCTTATTACTAGCTTTCAATTTTCAAGAGACCTAAAAGCTGAAGTTTCATCCTATATATTTCATTAATAACTAGAGGATAGTGAGTTATGAATGTCCATTACTAACTTTTGTCTAATAAGTATATTTACATGTTATATCCATGTAGCAGAAGCCAGTTTTAACAAGCAAGCAGAAAATCTTAATCCTCAAATA